GTTGCAATACCATCTACACTCATTTACTGTGACAGACATACTTATTCTGTCCAAAGACAAGGTTTGATTTATATGTGGATTCAAGAGTCTTCTGCAGTCAAAAGGGGGTTCGTGGTCCACAGATTAGGAAACATAGACGCATAAAAAATTCGTGTACGGAGTCAGCAACAGTCAGACTTGATAAACTTCCCGACCCCTAAACCACATAAATTTAGTCATTTACATATTAAATAATTTATGGTGTTAAGAGCCTAAGAGTCCAGTGTGGGTATACCAGGAAGCCTGCTCCAGTTAATTTCCTGGGTCTTTCTCCGCCCTAGCCTGCTCTGTGCTTCCTACTGAGATAGGAGATAGCTAGAAAAAGGTTAAGCAGACAGACAGGCAGGTCCTCTGGTAACAAATGTAGTGAACTCCCGGCAGGCCTCTCGGCTCAGCATTGGTAAACAACTCCCTGAAAGCCTCTCAAGCTAGAGCTAAGGTACTCACTGCTGGGGTTGAAAAGCAACCAATCAGCTCACCATTAGGACCCTACCTTAATACTGGCCAATCAGAACAGCTACAGCTCACAGCTAGTGCTCGCCAATTGGCTTGGGCTTAGGGCTATATAATCACCAGGTTTTCAGCCCCAGACAGGCAACCCCTTTGGGCCCCTTCCTGCTGTGGGAGCTTGTCTGTCCTCAATAAATCCTGCTTTCTCACCTTCCGACTGTCCATGACCCTCATTCTTCCTGGGCATTAGGCAAGAACCTTGACCCTGAAGAGCTGCAACCTGAAGAGCTGCAGAAGATCATCGGAGTAGAAAAGTCATGCACCCCAGAGGCTGGCTTGCCAGTGGACAGAACCAGCTGAACCAGGAGAGCTGCCAGAGGAAGGTGAGACTCCGAAGCTGAGGCACCCAGGGGTCTAGGATTGCCAACCCACCAAACCAGCAACACTCTCAGGGCTTGGCTTGCCAGCCCGTTAGAGCCAGCCCCCCTCACCCCCCAATCACAGCACTCAGAGCTTGGCTTGCCAGTCCATTAGAACTGACACTTGTAGGGTTAGGCTTATCAGTCCCTCCACAATCCTCTCTGGGGCTTGGCTGGCTGACCCATTGAGCTGACACTCTTGAAGCCTAGGCTGACCTGAAAAATCCGCATCACTACCTTTCTGTTCTTTTTTTTTTTCTTTTTTGAGTTGGAGTCTCACTCTGTCGCCCAGACTGGAGTGCA